TCTTGAGGAATCAAGAGACTTTCGCGGACAGGTTAATGGCAATATCATTATTGCAGCCGGTCGTTATTCACTCTAACAAACTGTGCGGCGCGATGCATTAATCTCCCGAGGCAATGCATCACCGGCACCGCCGCAGTGCTTTCTCGCGTACGCGCCGCCGGGGCGGTGCGCATGCAGTGTGTGTATGCACTCGCGCGCGGCTTGCGGCATACAAGCTGCGAAAGCTTTGCCGTTGCCGCTGATGCTGGTGGTTCATGTAGCAATGTCGCCGGTAGTCTAACGTGCATATTTCACTTTCGCGCGGCGAAGTGCCGCCGGCCGTTTCTCTCTTCCTCTCTCCCTTCTTCTTCTTCTCTCTCTCTCTCTCTCTCTCTCTCTTTCTCTTGTCCTTCCACTTTCTCGAGTAGATTCGCGCTCGACTCCGGCGACCGGCCGAATTAAAGGGAATTTCGAGAGCGTGACGCCAAAGGATCTCGCCTTTCCGACTCTGGAATCCCGCCTTTTTCACGTTTCCCAAGGATTTTCGTTTAGGCACCGACGGAAACACCGACATTACATCAGCACGCGCAATAAGAGCGTGGGACTGGTTACTCCGAATATATATCTTTTTATATCGCGGCAATGCAAGATATATTGCACGAGTTATTTCAAGTGAAAAGCGTACGCGCGCGTGATAAATTTACATCTCTTCATGGCTTGAGGAAAAAAATCGATTTTTTTAAATTAAAAATTTAGAGTCAAGACTATGTAGGTACGATACGAGAGTAAAGTCGAAGATAAAAAAAAATATGTGAATGCAGAGGGTACATACAAAGCGACATATCTGCCTGGTATTTCTAGCAATACGTTCGTACTTTAGCCGTGACGCGAAACGGTGTGGCCGTGGAAATTACTTTTCTTCGACGGAGTCCCCCATGTATTATTCACTCTCCGCGCCCCTGATATTTTGCCCTTGAACGCTCTAATGCGCCCGAAAGGCACGAAGGGGAGTAAGCGGTTATGGCGTTTGACAAAAGTAACCCCGCGAGAATAAAGCACTCTTGGCTTTCCGAAACATCTTACACGCGACCTTCCCGACACCGCCGAAACTTCTCGCCCGTATCGCCCGCGTGACAAAAAAATATTATATTACAAGAAGAAATGTATAAAAAGATCTAACGTTATATTTTTGGGATAAGTTTACCGCCATTGGTAGAACGGCAATAAATTTGAATTGTAAAAGAGAGGACTATAGGACGAAAATCCGTCCTTTATCCGTTATACCTTATATTATCTATCTGCCGCGTATAATGGGCCATTTTTAACCCAAAGGAACAGAAAATAAAATTTGTACTCAATAAATAACCAAAATCCCAAGTCGCAAAATTACGGTCTCGTATAAAATTAAAAATCAAGAAATTCTAAATTACATCGGAGCATCGCAATCCTTTTTGCGGAATCGCCGTAATGCAGAGGTTAGGATAGAAAATTACTTTATTTATTATTGTCTCGTATTTCTTTCCGGATGTTTGTTTCGCCAGTGATTCTATCCTCCCCCC